ACACACACACACACACACACACACACACAAATGGCTTGTTTCCACTGAGATAGTCAACACTGTTGGCAAGAATGAATGCTCATTGCTTATGCTGCTGTGCCATTACTTTGCATTTCTTTTTAGACTCTGTACCTCTTGGATATACCTTCTTTGTGTTTCTCACCAAACCTATTGCCTTTGTGCCCTGGAGCCAAAGCTCATTGTAGTACCTACCTTCCAGTTTACTCTCAGAGTATAGAATGGTTTAGTCTGGTGAGTACTGGATATTCAAATATTGTCTGGACAAACTAAGTTGATATACTCCCAGAGTGGGGCTGATGCAGAGTTTTAAATGGGAAGTTACAGCAGATGGGGTTTGATTTTGTATGTGGGAACATATTTGAGATTAGATCCACAACCCTTGCTGAGCAGCTCTGAACTATTCTGGGTTTCAGAAACCTCCTGAAAATTCCACTCTCATGGTGGGGGCTCTAAATTGCAGGTCTTACATATTCCACTATCATGGATATGAATTTTCCAGGATCAGACCTGGAATGCAGACGTACCTATCTTACCAGTTTCTGGCCTCTTCCCAGATGCTTGCATGTGACAAAGGGAAATGAAGCCTCTCTCCCTTGGTATTTCCAGCCTGGATCACCCTAGGCACAATTTCTAGGCCTCTTTAAGTCATTCAAGTGCAGGCACTCAGGATTTCACAACAGGTACCTGCTTGGTCGTGCTGTCAATACCCTTTATAAACTCCAATCTCTCACCTTTTCAAGGTGCCAGTCAGCCACTTGCAGGTGATTCCCACCATGACTCTTGTTTCACAGACCAAGTGATTCTGTTCGTTTTTCAATCGTCACTTGCCTCACCATCTCTGGTTGAATTAACCTCAGCCTCCCCCTCTATTTCAAGTTTTCCTAAAAGTCAATTTCTTTCAGTGTGCTTTGCTCTCTTTCTGCCTGGGTTGCCCTCCCCTCTGCAGTGGGTGAAAAATGCTGATGCTGCCACCAATCAAGTTGGTGCATCTATCTCTAACATATCATTTCTCATTTTATGTTTATAATGTCTGGTTTTCTGTGTCTATATGATTATTTTACTATCTAACGTTGAATTTTAGTGAATTCTCTCAACCACCATCTTTCCTAGAAACAATACTCCTGCTGTTTGAATCTCTAGCTAAGGAGCATTGGAGCATGCACACTTCTTTGAATCCACCAACTTCCAATCACAGTCCTTAATTTTCACAGTTGCTTAGGACTGGGAAGTCTAGTAAAATTCTCATTTCACTTTTCATACTAAAGTGTGCTGGTATTTAAATACAAGTAAAGATTCTATGAAAATATATTGTGTATTTAATTTTCCTGGTCATACATATTTCACAAATTTTATATTATTATAGACTTAGTTATAATTTCTAGGGATTATCCCTCTTTCTTCCAGTGAAGGAAAAATAATAAATATGTGAAATGCCTAGGATGATCTGATCCCAGGTTTTAGTCTCTAGTGGTCTTTGGCTTGAATCCAAAGTCCTAAAGATTTAGTGTAATTGAACTTTTTGCACCAAGGGTGAAAAGGCTACATTTTTTATCTAGTAATCCGTATTGTATATGCTATTTACAATGATATAAACAATAGTAACCCTATAAATGGTTTCTAATTTTATTTGGCACTATAAATAGACTAATATTTTATATTAGAGCATCATTTCTATTCTCTGCTTTTTGAGATCACTCTGTTCTTCAAGATTTACAGTTCAAAATATATTCATTTTTTTTAAAAAATATGCAGTTATGTTTATCAATTGAAAAAGGAAATTAAAATATTTTAATGGTAAATATGAAAAGGTCACTAAAAGTAATTTATATTTTAATATATTCCTTTTTTATTGGTTCTTTTTAGTTATATGTGACAATAGAACCCATTATTGCAGTTTTAAAAATATAAGCTGGGATGTGTAATTATTGTTTTTTAAGCAAACTCTGAATCAACTCTAAAGATAAGGTCAAGAATGAAGATGAATATTGAAGTACAATCTTTACATTGTGATTACAAGGAAATAGAATACTTCCACCAATTTCACTACTATCACTATTTTTCTTAAGAAACTATTTTTTTAAATGGAGCAAACATGGAACACTTGTGTTTTTAAATATTATTTGTGAAGGAATGAGTTAAAACATTTATGTGAGGATAGATGAGGATCAAAAGGCAGTTTTAAAGTTCTTATAAATTTATTAACTATAGTCACCATTAAGAAGTTATAAAGACTCACTTGAAATAAACTGCAAAACTTCTTGTGTATGAATACTAGGAAAAACCAGAAATGCAATAATGCTACCAGAGAGGTATTTTATTTTACAATGTATAGCTTTCTAAACAAGCTTTTAATAATTTTAATTTCATATAGAAATAAAAATACAATATAATTTTTAAAAGTAAATGAAAAATAGGATCTCAAAGATGTATGAAGTTAGGAAATTTTATAATGTACTACAGTCGTGCAGTTAATATGATGTAGGAAAATGAAATAAAAATGAGATGAAGAAATAAAACTTTATTCATTCCAGTTTATTTGCAAAAGTTAATGACTATTGCAGAATTTTCAATTATTACAATTCAAGAATTAGACTCTCTAAATATGCATATTATTATTTAAGGTTTATTTGCTGAGGGCCATTGCCAAGTAGGTATGACGTATCGAAATCCTTGCCAGCGTACCCCATGTTAAATGGACTTGCCTTGGAAATCCGCTGTGACCTTGCATGTGTGTTTGAGAAAGGTGACCCTGCTCAATGACCGGGGTGGATCCAGGATTAGGGTGTATCCTGCAGGTTTGAGGAAGTATCCCAGTCCTTGGATTTAGGGCATGCCCCGTTTAAGACAACAGGAGTTTTAGGAAAGTTGGAGGTTGAAGATTATTGCTGCTGAGAGTAGGGCGTGCCTGCTGCCTGAGTTCCCGCTGAGTTCTCATGGAGAGAAAGTATTTAGGATGTGAATTGTGGGGGAGATTTTAGATTGCCCCTGAACCTGTGTGGAGGCGGTGTGGGTTCGGGAATAAAGAATTGCTGTTTGAATCTACAAGTGTGTGGTGACTCGTGATTCTGTGCCAAGCAGAGACCTTGGCATTATTAATGTATTCCCCTGACACTTCCATATGTATGTATGTATGCATGTATGTATGTATGGATGGATGGATATTTTTTTCTTTTTTTTTAAATCAAGTTGTCTGTATTTTTTTTTCACATTTACAGTTTACAATTAGTGAGGCCATTTTTGAAAAGTAAAATCTTGACTTCCATACAAATATTACATGAACATGTGCAAAAAAAAAAAAAAACCTTTGTTCAACTAATTTGTGAGGGAACTAATAAGATGTTACAATTGGTTTGAAGGAGAACTCAAAGAGCAGACAAGTAAACAGGCAATCAGGAATGCTGACATCAACTTGCTAAACCCAGGCATTGTGGAACAACCAGGGGCAATCAACAGTCATTCTGCAAAACACATGCATCACTACATTTCTTCCTCAACTTCCAGAGCTGAAAATTAGCTTAACAAAAGTGAACAGGAAGCCACTTGGCAAAAGTGTGTAAAATCCAAAACTGGGTAGTGTTCCTTTATTTTCCATTTCAATACCTTTCACATTTTTTTCTGTGATAAATTACAGTCAAATTCAAAAAGCAGAGTGAATCTACAAAATAGGCTGATCATGAAAATGTGATCGCTGATTATGCCAAAAATGTTCTGTGGTTCTCAGAATTACCAAGCAGCAATTCTGAAATTAAACTCTATCTCCATCAAAGATATGCAGAAAATCAATGCTCTTAGAGGACAGAAATGATTTTTTCTGAGGTAGAAAACATCCTTCAATGTGAATTAGGAAACAGATATAACATGTATTCTGTAGACACATAGATACTACAAAGAAACTGTTGATTCATTGGTACAAAGTGAGTTACTGAGTAAACTTCCAAAGAGATTATTTGAAGGCTCAAAAATAATTCTTAATTGGCTAATTGGAAAGATTGTTTCTTAAGGCTCACCAATTAAAAAGTCTTTTCTATTCAGGTTGCAAAGCAGAGATTTACTTATCAGTTGATATTGTATGTTAAATCAACATGAAAGAGTGAATATACATATGTACACATATAAAAGTATATACATGTATGCACACATGGTTTGTATTTTCTAGCTGCCATTGATCCCTTTATTGTATTCTTAATCTGGTTCATTATTGAGATAGTAAAGCAAGGCCTGTGTTCTGGACTGGCTCTATTTGTCTTCTACTATTCTACTAAGTATCAAGTGGACAGTCATCAACACCCGGGAGTCAGTCAAGCCAACACAGGATATGGAAAGTCTCACTTCACAAGGGTACACTGAAGATGCAGATCATAATCAGGAAGCTGTTGGTTTCATTCAACCTTTCCCTCAGCAGTAGGCTCCAGGTGCCAGGATGCCCAAAGGAATACAGAGAAACCTCCCTCTTACTCGTAGGCAGGCAAACCAAACAGCTCAGGCTGGAAGTCCTGCAGGGACCTGAGCACCAGAGTGGCCTTTCTCGTCAAGTCTGGGCTCAGGTTTTCATCCGGTACCATGACCACCTGCATCCCAGCCGCCAGGGCCGCCTCCACCCCATTGGGAGCATCTTCAAAGACGAGGCACTTTTCAGGGGCTGGAGGAGGAAGGAACCTCCTGGCACAGGTGAGAAATATTTCAGGGTCTGGTTTGCCATTCTTCACATCATCTCCCAACACGATGTGGTTAAACAAACGGAAGAATTCCTTGTGTCTTCTCGTTTTCATTTCGAAGGACGCAGACTCTGAGCTCGTGCCCACGGCGATGGGTATGTTGTGCTTCAGCAGGTGGTGGATCAGTTTTTCCGCGCCAGGCATGATCTCAGCTGCTGGGAACAGATCCCTTAACTTCGTTTGGCTCTCCTCCACCAGCTCCTCTTTGGACATCGGGAGCTTCAGGATTTCAACCATGATCTCAGCAGCCTCTAACGACTTTTTACCCAGAACCAGGGACTTGACATCCCAGGTGTACTTCTTCTCATAACGACCACATATTTCTTCCAACACCCCTGAACGTATCCGTTCAGTATCCAAAAGCAGGCCATCCATGTCAAAGATGATGTGGGTGACTGGCCGCAGCGCTGGCACAGGTGCAGCCATCTCAGCCTGAATGGGAGTGGGGAAAGCGCTCGCCAACCGACAGTCCTGTGCGCCTGGGAGCTCTTCTGAGCGCTCCCACCCTGAGCCCAGTAGTCGGTTAGTGTTGTTTCGAGAGTTCTTTGAATATTTTGGATTACCATCTTTTGACAGATAAGTTTTACAGTATTTTCTGTCAGCAGTTTGTCTTTTCATATTCTTGACAAGGTGTTTTCAAGAGCAGAAATTCTTATTTTTATTTATTTATTTATTTATTGAGAGAATTTTTGATATTTATTTTTTAGTTATCTGCGGATAACAACATCTTTGTTTGTATGTGGCACTGAGGATCCAACCAGGGCCGCACACATGCCAGGCGAGCGCACTACCACTTGAGCCACATCCCCAGCCTAAATTTTTAATCTTAATGAAATTCATCTTGCTGTTACAAGTAAAAGTTATTAACTAAACCAAGTTCTTTGGTTTCTATGGAACTGTTAATCGAAAAGACTATTTTATTGTCTTTTAGTGTCTTTGTTCCTTTATCAAATACCAGTGGACCAAATTTATGTGAGATCTCTTTCTGGGCCCTGTATTATATTTCATTGATTTATTTGTTCATTCGTTTGCCTGTTCCACACTATCTTGATTATTGTAGCTTCACAGTCTTGAAATTGTTTAGTATCAGTCTTCCAACTTCATTGGAGACAATATTGAGTTGGCTATAATAAGTTGTTTGCATCTCCATGTAAATTTTAGACTCACTTTGCCAATATCAGTAAAATGCCCTTCTTGGGTTTGGCTGAGTTTACATTCATTCTGTGTATCAAGTCTGAAAGAACTGTTAGCTTCACAATGCTAAATCGTCCTGTGTATAAACACAGACGATTTCTCCTCTTAGTCCTTCTTTGACATCTTACATCCAAAATTTCCTCAAATAATTCTTGTACATATGTTGACAGATCTGCATTGAGGTTTTCCATTTGGGGGATAATACTAATGTAAACAATATGTTCTTTTTTTTTTTTTTCTTTTAGAAATTTAGAATTGTACCTTGCTGAATAAATAGTTTCTTTTAGAATGTACTATGATATTATATGAATTAAATGTGTGTTATAGCGTGTGAAGTGTGAAGTAGATATATAGAATCCAAAGCAGAATGAAATCCCAGAAATTGTCCACATATGAAAATAGTCTTTATCATCAACTTGGCTTTGAACATCAGTAAAGAAAAATGGAGTGTGTGGAAAATTGTTTGGAGACAACTAGACATAAAATAAGAGAGGCTGAATCACTACATTAACACATCAAGGCATTGATCCCAGATATTCTGGGATCTCTTCTGAATTGAAAAGTTAAGTCATGGAAATTCAGATAGTTATTTCTAAATTGCCAATGGAGAACTAAAAGAAAAAAAAAACATACAGTAGAAGGAAACAGAAAATTTTTAAAAAATTAAGAAGTTAAGAAACATGAAAAACTAACATCATATAATTGACCTATAATACCAAAAGTACTTTTCTGAGTCTATAAAGAAAACTATAAGGAATAAGTAAAAAAAATACCACCAAAAGAAACTAGGCAAAGTCTAGGAACAGTTATTTCTGAGCAATATGAAATTCAAAAATCTTCTCAAAACTAGAGAAAAAAAGCTTATTTTCACTCAAAAGTGTAATGTCCATAAATGTAACAGTTGAAATCATCTTCTCTTGTAAATTGGTCAGTTATATAGAGGATTGAAACCTCATGGTCTTAGTTAGCTTACAAAAGCTTGTAATGCAGAACCAAAATTTAATTTAGTAGAACATTGGTTAAATAATGTACATTCATATGAGGAAATATTCTGTATCTATAAAAAAGAATGAGACAACTTCATGCTTAATAATAATGAAATATTACTTAGGTATAATATCAAATAATTATAAGGAAGAGTAAAGAGTACATTTCTTTTATATGAGGAAAAATAAATACAAATGAGTATATGTATAGTTAAAGTTCTGAGGAAAAAAG